TCATAACAAGAAGAGCCCTAGAGCTCACGATGAACTCATTAGTTCATAAAAAGAGCCTTAGAGATCATGACGAACTCATTAGTTCATAAAAAGAGCCCTAGAGCTCACGATAAACTCATTAATTCAGAAAAATAGCCTTAAAACTCACGATGAACTCATCCGTTCATAAAAAGAGCTTTAGAGCTCACAATGAACTCTTTAGTTCATAAAAAGAGCCCTAAAACTCACAATGAACTCGTTAGTTTACAGAAAGAGCTCTGAGCTCATGATGAATTTATTGGTTCGTAAGAAGAGCTCAAGCACTCGGGATGAACTTATTAACTCATAACAAGAACGATGAACTCATTGGTTCATGGTAAGAACCATAGGGTTCGCAATGAATTCGTCAAAAGAGTATGAAGCTTAGACACATCAGAGATTACAAAACAAAAAACTTCTTCAAATCACAAATCATTCATAATGTGAAGCAAATATGGGAAAATTGAGGTTTCCAAGACATCAGCAGTTACAAGGTTACAGTCAAAGCAAAATTCCTAGTTGTCTCTCCAACTCAGTTATCCTTTCCTTCAGACGACGGTTCTCCTCTTTCAACTCATCCCTTTCCTTCTCAACTGATGACAGAAGATCCATCAACTTTTGTCCAGTAGTGGAAAACAGAACTTTCCCCAGGCCAGACTCGGAGGTAAGGGAGGAAGAACCATCCCTCTTACGCCTCTTCGAAGGAGCTCCAGTGTCTTCGGTTTTATTAGACTCTGAAGAAAAAAAGTCAAGTTCAAGAAAAAAAGGAAAGTCTCGTTCAGCCGCAACAGCACTAAACAAGAACAGATTGTCTGATGTCATGAGTTCAAAAAAGGACATGGGCTCAGCATGGGTCATTAGTTCTATCCTCATCAATTCAAGCAAGTTCAAGTCAAGAACACCTGCACACCAAAAAAATAAGATAACCAGATAGCATTATGAAAATTTGATCCCAAAGAGAGAGACTCTCGTCACTCTCACCTGAGTAAGAATAGCTCTTCCAGGACCAAGGGACTCTACACTCCCTAGTGCCCACCTCGGAAGACCTCCACGAGTCACTGGAAGCAAAGAAGAATCGTTGGGCCCATCCCGAAGGAGGAGAGGGGAGATCAAACACTAAGCGATGTAGCCTGAAATCTCTCCATTGAAAGCGGACAAAGCATGGAACTTTATCCTCCTCAAGGTCAAAAAAGTAAAGAAATTCTACAACTGTAGGAAACTCGCCATTACCTCATAGACGCCAGAAGAGAAAAAAGTTGGTCATGACAGCCCATCCCATGGGTGAAAGACGAGAGGGACACAAGCCAATATAAGCCAAAATAAATCCAATAGAAGGGTGAATGGGAAGGCGCAGACCTAACTCCAAAGCTGTTTCAAAGAAGCATGTCTCTCTAGGAGAAAGGTAATTATAGGATTCATTGGAGCTTGGAGCACGTAGAGATAACTCCAAGTCAAGAAAGAATTTCTTCCTTATCCTCTCTAAATTAGAGGACGTCACCACTGAGAGAACAAAGTAGCGCGTATGCCACATCCACTCAACCCCAAAGGAGGTTCGCTCTTTAAACAAAGCAGAAAAGAGGGCAGACATAGTGGCTTCAAGCAAAAAAGAGAAGAGAAGGAAATAGAAGGTGTTAAGTCCTCAAGAATCACAAAGGGATACCCGGAAGGAAGTGATAGCCAGTACTTATAGAAATCCTTTGAAGACCTCAGATTTTTAGGAAGTTGTTAATTACACGAAACCTTAAGTCTGTGGGTCTCTAGGTTTCCAAATTAAGGAAGTAAAAACCTTTTTGGTAAGAGGGCAATGCATCAAAGGTGGACATTAACTACACCCCGGGACAAAACAAGCAGACCTCCAAAGAGGGGTCCAGAACATCAAAGAAAGGTCAAAATAGACCCTTGCAATTCAGGAGTTCAGCAAGTCTGAGGTGCCAAGATCCGGGAGGTCGTCTCCACAGTTCTCTCGACCTCAGAAGTAGAGGGGGATGCCTGTCCTAAAGCAGCAGCGCTTGGAGTAGTAGGAAAAAGGCCTTGGGAAGAGAAGTCTGGGACAACTAGAGCAGAAGGAGTGAGTGACATGCCTGTTCTAGGCACCTTGGTAGGAGGAGGGGAGACATCGACAGAGCTGGGTCCCGACTTGCGTTTGGCGCTACTCTTGCTGCTGCTCTTGTTGCTGCCCTTGATATTCTTCATTTAGGAAATTTTAGCCCCAAGTTCAGTAGCAGTGGGCTCCATTGAGAATGAACCTACGTGACCTAAGAATATCTAAGCCTCACCCTTAGACAGAGAAAAGAGGAGAGAGGGTGCAAAGAAAAGTGTTACCTGATATATCTGCGGCGGAAAGCGGGATGGGGCCAGCAACGGAAAGTGAAAGGGGAGCTTCAACCCTCACCTCAGGAAGGCAGAACCTGTGTTCTACAAGAGCCTAAGGTTGGATAAGCTTAGAATATCTCTTTGGTTTGCACTTTTCCAATTTCCGCAATACTCACTCTTCTTCAGCGTTGTACCTAGAATACCAAGGAAAATAAGAAATAAGTTAATAAAGTAGCCAGGCTTGGATTAAATACGGTCTGGGCAGAAACATACCCAAATTATCGGGGACAGACCACTCTGTAGGGATGGGGAGGGTATCAGTTTTATCCTCTAAGTTGAACTCCCATTGTGTACCGCCTACAAAGAAAAATTATTTCTTCCAGCCCTTATGGGAGCTTGGGAGGTCAGAGATGACCTGTTTGGCCTTAGCCCTCTTGAAAATATACAGAAAACTGTCAGAGGATGTCTGCTTGACATTGAAAAGCTCCATAAGTATGGAAACAGTAGGGACCCCGAGCTTATGGTCCCTAAAGAAGACTAGTAAACCCACAAGAACACTCCAAAAGTTGGGGGAGAGCTGGGCAGGGCAAACAATGAAGTGTTGAATGACACCTTTGATAAAAGGATGAATGGGGAATCGAAGTCCGTTATCAAAAGCTGCCAGGAAAAAACAGACCTTCTTATGGACATGGTGAACATATATGGTGTACTTATCAGGACTCCAGGGCTGAACCCCTTGGGGAAAACCAAAGCGAGCACTAAGAACCTTCAGGTCAGAAGGGGTAAGTCCGCTGGGACCTACAAGTTCAGCGTTCTTAAAGGCAACCCCTATGCCTGAAACAATGGCTCCCTCACCACTTACTTTGCCCTTGCCCTTATCAGGCCTATCAGGCATGGGAGAAGAGGTGGAAGGGGCCTCCTCAGTTTTTACCTCTACCTCGGCAGAGTTTACGCCAGGAAAGTTGTCAATCTCATCACCTGCATCACCTAAATCAGAATCTCTTTCGGCAGACCTATCGCCTAAGAGGGAAAGAGAGGGTGAAGTTGCTCCAAAGGAGGCAGACATGATTGGCAAGGAGAAAGGCAAGTCAAAAGAATGATAAAAATGAGGAATACTAACTAAACACCCCCTGATAATCCTAGGGTCAGCACTGTACCTCCCAACAGTAAGAATTCGTACAATGGAGTTCCAATCCACAAAGCGGGGAAGAGGAGATAGGCAACGATCGTGATTCCAAAAGAAAAAGAACTGAAAAACCCAAAAAAATAATGGCTACCTTGAAGTTGAGGGATCCAGAGTGAGGAAAGGTAAGAGAAAGAGAAAGGGGAAGAAGGAATCGTACCTAGACAGGGAAGAAAGTAGCAAACAGCAGTCAGAGAACAAAAATTGGAGGAGAGGAACAAAGCAGGACTTCGAGTCAAACCCAAAAAGCACAGTCTAGAGCAGAAAATAAGGGAATCGTGTGGAGGAAAGTCCAGAAATCGTAGAAAGAAAGAGTCGGAGACGAAGGTGAACAGCGTAGAAGATGAATAGGAGATTTTGAGCGATTTTTAGGTATCCGTTTGAGCATTTAAAGCTTGAATGACGTGAGCTGAAATATGTGCGGGAATCGAGGAAACCATGATTGCTGCACATGCAGACTAAGGTCAGCTAGGTGCAGGTCTGGTCCAAGGTGAAAGTAGCTCAGCCCATGCCCAAGCTCGCTTGGGCCAAGGGCTAGGGGGCAACTAATGATATCTCAAAATAAATCCCAAGTGTCAGCTCAAGAGGTCAGACTAGGCAAGCAGAACTTGGAAGAGTAGAGCTAGAGGTACTCTCGAGATAAGCGATGGCAATGACAACCAAAGCAACAGCTGGATGATCACGAGAGATTCCTAAAGCGTAAGGAAAGTTATAATCAAGGCACCTAATCTCACCTAACCAAGATCTTCTCTTAAAAATTAAGGAGAACCCCACTAAGTAAGGGCAAGAATCTCAGCCAGAATTCCACTTAGCAGGGAATGACCCTATAAATGCAATGTAACACCTCCTAATAGGGAGGGGGAACCCTAGAAACAAAAAGGGGCCATTGCAACCTTGTAACATGGATTATTGAAAGAAAATGAGTAGGAGCCGCCATTTCAGAGTGGACTAGCCAAGCTCCCGAACTGGCGAACCACTATATATCTACTGTGTTAATTCTCCAACTTTCCCAACAATTCCCTCGAGTCTAATAGCTCAAATCCCAATAATTTCAATATTATTTCTTTCATTTACTTGTCAGCACAAAAATAGCTTCACATTGAAATACACCATCAAAGACTATCATATGAAGCCAAAAAAAAAACAAAATCAGCATCTACAGTTGTGGGTACCTAAAAAATGTCTAACAAGCTTATATAACAACAATCCAGTATATTTGCATTCATCACTAGTCTCCCGTATCAAAATTGGAGGGAAGTGCAAGAGATAAGAGTAATGCGTTCAGTGGGAGAATTGAGTGATGAGATCCAACCAAGAAGTTGTTGGAGATGGAGCAAACAAGATTTTTTCCCAAAAGAATCTTTTAAAACCTGGACCACATACCGATCTGCGCTGTCACAAACAACTGACGCTTCAGGACCGTCTTGTAAGCCGATAAGAGGATGCTGATGAGCTCATAGAGCTCCGAAAACAAAGTGAGAACGAAATGAAACGTTGCCTCACCTGGTGGGACCTTATCTGGTTTGGGTTTGGCTCTGTCATTGGAGCCGGCATCTTTGTGCTCACTGGCCAAGAGGCCCATGACCATGCCGGACTAGCCATTGTCTTATCCTATGTCGCATCAGGTGTCTCAGCAATGCTTTCAGTTTTCTGCTACATGGAATTTGCAGTAGAAATTCCGGTCGCCGGAGCTTCTTTTGCTTACTTGAGAGTAGAATTAGGAGACTTTACAGCATTTATAGCAGCAGGGAATATATTTCTTGAATCCATTGTGGGAACTGCAGCTGTTGCTAGATCGTGGACTTCTTATTTCACGACTCTTTTGAATCGACACCTGAACTCATTACGTATACATACAAATCTCACAAATGGGTTCAACCTCCTTGACCCTATTACTGTTGTAGTTCTGGCAATTGCAGCCACCCTAGCCATGATCAGCACAAGGAAAACTTCATACTTCAACTGGATTGCATCTGCTATAAACACCATAGTAATTTTCTTTGTGATAATTGCAAGGTTTGCTCATGCTGATACGTCTAATTTGCAACCCTTTATGCCTCATGGTGCTGAAGGGGTCTTCCAAGCAGCAGCGATTGTGTATTTTGATTATAGAGGATTTGACAATATTGCGACGATGGCAGAGGAAACAAGAAAATCATCAAGAGATATTCCACTCGGGTTGCTTGGATCAATGTCAATGATCACTGTGATATACTGTTTGATGGCACTTGCTCATAGTATGATATAGAAATACACCGATATAGACACAAATGCAGTATACTCTGTTGCATTTCAGAGTGTAGGGATGAAGTGGGCTAAGTACCTGGTTGCTCTTAGAGCCCTCAAAGGGATGACCATTGTTCTGTTGGTAGGAGCACTAGGGCAGGCACGCTATACTACTCATATTGCGCGAGCCCACATGATTCCACCGTGGTTTGCTCTCGTCCACCCAAAGACAGGAACCCCTATTAATGCCACTCTCTTAATTACCATTTCAAGTGCCATTATTGCATTCTTTTCAAGCTTGAATCAGTTGGCAAGTTTGTTATCAGTCAGCACACTCTTTATATTTATGATGATGGCAGTGGCACTTCTTGTGAGGAGATACTATGAACGAGAAATAACTCCTCGAGCAAACCTCTTGAAGCTAGTTGCCTTCTTGCTGATCATTATTGCTTCCTCCATGGGGACTTCAGCATTCTGGGGATTGAACCCCAATGGTTGGATTGGTTACACCATCATCGTTCCTCTGTGGTTCTTGGGGACCTTGGGGATTGCAATGTCTCTGCCACAGCAACGAACACCAAAAGTCTGGGGAGTTCCACTTGTTCTGTGGTTGTCATCCTTGTCAATTGCAACAAATTTGTTTCTCATGGGATCATTGGGATCTCAGGCTTTTATAAGGTTCGGCGTCTGCACATTTGTAATGCTGGTCTACTATGTTCTTTTTGGTCTCCATGCAACATATGACATGGCCCATCAGCAACACAAGCTAGAATCACAAAAAAATCTTCAAGAAGTAGACATGGAAAAAGCAGGGCCATAAGAAGTTAAATTACCCAATGCCACTTCAATAGTTCATCCAAGAATGCAGTTCTGAGACTGAAAATATATGTACTTATGTAGCATCAAACTTGTGAAATCAATCATCCAAATTAAGATCATTACCCCTCAATGCAACAATGAAGAGGAGAAAATTTTATACATGCTAGCAATAATTTTTTGTGGAATTATGTCCTAAAGAAATGTCACCTCTCAACCAACTTAATCCTCAAAAGTATAGGTTATTTTACCAACAAAGATCTTTTTGCAATTGGAAAAAAATGATTTCAGTCTTGATTCAACATAGATTCTTGATGTCTCTGGCGAGTTCATAAATAGAAAGTGGGGGTAACTATTTTTGAAGAAGCTAAAAAACATATCAAGAACAAGAATGATGTCACATACAAAAAAGAGGAATTCAGGGAAGTAAACGGTATAAACAAAAGGAAGCAGCAAAAGTATAAAAAGACATCAAGGAAGAAATATGGTTTCCTTTTGTAGAAATTTTTTATCAGCAATATGGGTATAACTCTAAAAAGTTCTACCATACATAAAAAAAAAAAGTCATTACCTAGTTTGGTTCTCCTTAATAAAGGGTGCTGGGAGCTGAGCAATGAGTAAAGAGACAGACTTAACCTTTAGACTTGCATGACATGCATATTCCAAGATTCCAATAACTCTTTGCAGCTGATAGAGAGATCAGACATGTTCCAAAATAAATGAAATATTTAAGTATCCAGTGCACACGGCCCCTGCAATTGGAGGGTCTGTGGAGGGTTACATATATGCAATTTTACCCGTGAAAGCAGAGAATTTGTTTCCGTGACTCAAACCCATGACATCCAAGTCACAGTGGTGCAACTTTACCACTGCGCCAAGGCCCACCCTCCAAATGAAATATTTTAGTATCAACAGAAAAGCAAAAGACTGAATGTCATAGACCAGCCATGCTTGGCTAATCTGGATCTCATTGGTTCCACCACAGACCGGTAAACTTGTTATTCACATTGGAAGTTTCAAAATCCAGAAGCTGCCTGGGACTCGAGGAATGAGATATCTTGGGATAGTGACCTTGAGGAAAAAGAATCCTGTCTACTGAACAACATGTCTTGAGGAAAGGAATTTAGTTCAGATTTCCTTATTGAACAACATGGAACATTCAGAAATACAACCAGAAACCGACCATCATACACTACCACTTATTCAGCACAAATATCAATTTGTGGACAGATGACAGTAACAAAGAGTTACTTGCTATTATTCCCTTCTTCTAAGTATGTTCGAATCCATAAAAATGGAAACATCTATCATGATTTAGTCAAATTTTAGGCGATAAATAATTTTTTTTTTATATAGGAAATGAAACTTTTATTAATACTATAGTATAATTAGGGATAATTGGTAAATAAAAACTAAAAATCAGAAAGAAAAAAAGAAAGAAAAAAAAAGAAAAAAAAGATGGCAAATTTGTATATGATGAAGGAAAAGAAGGGTGCGATTGGATTGGCTGAAAGCAAGTAGGAGGTGGAGGCTCTAAATCTTCAAGCCATGCAATGAAATGATTGGAGGGGATGATGTTTGGCTATAAAAAGACAACAAATATGTGCAAAACTCGTCTGAGGCATTCCTAGGGGTGTGGTTTGGATCAAAATATGCCACTTTTCAAGGGCTTTCCAACAAGCTTGAGTTTGCCTATCCAACTTCGTTTGGATATAGTTCCAATTTTGGCTGTTTTACGCGATTTCATGAGTGAATTCTACCCATGAATTCATTCTAATTGGTATAATAACTTATTACTACGTCGAGTATCAGATTGAACCCAGTATGAGATGCGGCTATCTATGACCGAATCATTAAAAGGGAGACTTATAGGCTGCATCAAAGAGTTTTGGTGTTATGTACGGATATGGTGTCAAGTCATTGAATACTGATGAGTGAATGGAGCTACCAATAAGAAATGACTACCGTTAGGTTAGTGCCGATAGACTGGGCTATTGTGGAAATCACTTACGAAAATATAGTGGAATTATATAATCCTATATCAATTAAAAATAAACTTATATATGTGCATATGAACTTTGGGTAACCTTTCATTGCATGCTGGTTATCAAGGGTGAACCCATGGGTTCATATCATGTTGCATTGCTCGCCTATATGACCACCAAATTTTTCTAGCTCCCAGTAGAAGCGAAATAAAGTCAAAATTGAAACTTGGACTAAAACTTAAATTCAAACGAATTTACAATCAACTTTTAGATATACAAACACACATCAATCAAAATGAAATATCCGAATATGCGGCTAAGGTAGGTTAACATGAGGACGCTCAAATTGGTGAAACTAGTGTCCCAAAGTTGAAAGATGATACAAATACTAAAATTATTGGATCACATAAGATAGAAAAATCATAATTAGTTCATGTAGAATGAAATTCTAAAAAACCTATTTCACCTATACAAATACAATATTTAAGCACGACATTCAGGTAGGTAAAAGTTACGAAGCTTTAAGTGGTTAAACTAATGGCTCAATCAATATTTATGGTTTATTCTTACATCATTACATATATAAGAATCACTAAACAATTACATTAGTATATTAAGATAAACATGTGGGGGTTTACACCTTCAAAGTTTAAGAAGAAAGTACAACACTTTACTATCCAATGAACACCACAGTACAGATTTTTGATCAACTTCGGAGAATAAACTGATTTGACTCAGATATTTCTAGTATGTGTGACCTATATGGTTGGAAAGATATACGAGTTAGGGTTCTAACAAAAATAACGGTGCACAATTTGGAGTTTTCAACAAAGATTTATGTTCAAATTGGTTAAAGGTAGTCTACCGGACTGTTTGGTTCTTCTATACTTGTCTAACTCGAGTTTGGGTGTCTTTTGTCACAAATTCTATCTCACACCCATCTCCAATATAGATAGTATGGCTTGTATAAAGATCCATGTCTAGCATCATTCATTAACCCAAACCAAATTACCATCTGTCTCCTAGAATCATTTATAACAACATGATGTAGAACTAGTATATCCACCAACATTTTTCTTCAATTCCTCTAAGCTAGCTAATTGATGAGAATGCAAAATGTCATATTTTTTTCTCTTNTCATCCCAATGCTTGCCTGATAGTTTTTGTTATACGCGAACTCCACCAATGGAAAGTGATCACTCCAGCTTCCTTTGAAGTCCAACACGCAAGCACGTAACATGTCTTCCACAATCTGTATCACCCTCTTGGATTGGCCATCCATTNCAGCCTAAATATACTTATTATTCTTATATTTTGATTTGGGATGTAAACGGAGATGTTAAATACAAAACGAAACTAATTAGACGATTGTTGATAGTTTAGACATGTGAGGGTTTACAATCCACCCCCCTTAAAGAAAGTTTCGTCCTCGAAACTTACCTCAAGTAGCGAATAAGTGTGCGTACTTCTCTCGCATTTCTAGCTCCGGTTCCCAAGTAGCTTCTTCCACTCCATGGTGTTGCCACAAAACCTTCACTAGTTGGATGACTTTGTTGCGGAGCACCTTCTCTTTGGCATCGAGAATCTTCACCGGTTGTTCTTCATAGGTTGCTCTATCTTGAATTTCAATATCTTCCAAGTCTACGACCGGCGTTGCGTCCGATTGACACTTTCTCAACATCAACACGTGGAACATGTCATGTACCCCAAACAACTGAGCTAGTAACCGCAACTGATACGCCGCTTTGCCCACAACTTTGATCACTTCAAATGGCCCGATATATCTTGGCGCTAACTTTCCCTTCTTGCCGAATCTAAATACTCCTTTCTTGGGCGACACTTTGAGGAACATGTAGTCTCCCACTTTGAATTCCAATGGTCTTCATCTTTGATCCGCATAGCTTTTCTGTCGACTTTGTGCCGTGCGTAGTGTCCCTCGGATGAGTTGAATTTTCTTAATAGTTTCTCGAACAATCTCCAGTCCAAACAAACTACTCTCACTGGCTTCCAACCAACACGTCGGGGATCTACACGGTCTTCCATACAATGCTTCATATGGTGTCATCCCAATGCTTGCCTGATAGTTTTTGTTATACGCGAACTCCACCAATGGAAAGTGATCACTCCAGCTTCCTTTGAAGTCCAACACGCAAGCACGTAACATGTCTTCCACAATCTGTATCACCCTCTTGGATTGGCCATCCATTTGGGGATGAAAAGTTATGCTGAAATGTAACTCTGTCCCCATGGCTTGTTGTAGACTTTGCCAAAACCGCGCTACAAACCGAGAATCACGATCCAACACGATAGAAAGCGGAACTCCATGCAATCGCACAATCTCACGGATATACAGTTGGCTCAAAGTCTCGAATGTGTCCGTGGTCTTTATACCCAAAAAATGAGTGGACTTGGTGAGTCTATCCATAATAACCCATACTACATTATGCTCGCGTGACGTCCGTGGTAATCCCGACACGAAATTCATGGTGATGTGATCCCACTTCCATTCTAGGATAGACAAAGACTGTAGTAATCCTCCTAGCTTTTGATGTTCGATCTTCACCTACTGGAACACCGCACATCGTGCTATGAACCTTGNTTTGCTCCAGTTCCCAAGTAGCTTCTACCACTCCATGGTGTTGCCACAAAACCTTTACTAGTCGGATGACTTTGTTGCGGAGTACCTTCTCTTTGGCGTCGAGAATCTTCACCGGTTGTTCTTCATAGGTTGCTCTATCTTGAATTTCAATATCTTCCAAGTCTACGACCGGCGTTGCGTCCGATTGACACTTTCTCAACATCAACACGTGGAACATGTCATGTACCCCAAACAACTGAGCTAGTAACCGCAACTGATACGCCGCTTTGCCCACAACTTTGATCACTTCAAATGGCCCGATATATCTTGGCGCTAACTTTCCCTTCTTGCCGAATCTAAATACTCCTTTCTTGGGCGACACTTTGAGGAACATGTAGTCTCCCACTTTGAATTCCAATGGTCTTCATCTTTGATCCGCAT